GCCTCTCATGTATGTTCTGCATGAAAGGATTGATGAAATTCCCCAGAAGCAGGCATTCCCATGCAATGAACCAGTTAATGCTAAGATAATTATTTATTTGTCAATACTATTCCCACACAATTTACTAACTTTGGCTCAAGGTGTTGAGGGAAGAGGCAATTTCTTATTTTACTCCTATTTTAGTCATTATAAACTTCAGTTACCAATTAGAAATGAAAACTGTAAAGAAAATCAGGAAACCTTTTGGACAAGGTTTTGTCCACTTAGTTCCCGTTGGTATTATTTACAGCAATCAAAAGGATGGGTATTGATATACTGATTATACTTCACAGCAACAATATCTTAATCATAAACTGAAACTATTAAATTCAACAAGTAGTAGTATAAAACAGTGAATTTTTAAATATTACAGATAGAATGTAGCACGAACTGTATAAGGTGTAGATGGTAAGCTGTGTCCCACGTCAAAAGGGATCTCCAGCAATGCTGCAACAAGTTTAATAATTACTTAATGATCTTTTATACCCTGCAAGAGTTAGTACCACAATCTCTTTGTTATCTCACAGGCAGCGAGCCAGCACTCAGTTGATCCCTGAGGCTGATAGACTACAACCCTCAACGCTGCAAGAATCATGTCCACTTAAGGGCTAAAACTCACCTCATCGTTCCAAACTACTAACCTTCCCTGCTGTCTGCACTTGTTACGCTTTCTGTGGGACATCACACCACATCTCCATTAATTGGTCATGTCCAAATCCATCATACTCATTCCATTTTGTTGTCTCATTGCAGGAAGAACTGGCCAACTCACCAGGCTGATGTCTCAATACTACCCTGACTGACCTATTTGTAATACCCGGACTTGTGCTTGACCTGTAGGACTGATCATGCTCAACACCCTTTAGTGTGATTATATGAGCCCCTTGACTGAATGGGATGGTATACCCTGACTGACTACAGTCTCCCTTCACCTCAGTGAGGATTTTGTCCTTTTAATTTGCATACATTGTCAATTGCTTGAAGCAGATGCAGTGTATTTGCTGTGATCTAGCCTCCACAACTCTCTAGGGTAGGGAATTCCAGACATTCAGTGTCCTCTGGGCGAAGAAATTCCTTCACATCTCAGTTTTAAATGAATCTCCCCTGATTCTTTAACCAGGTCCCTTAATTTGAGATTCTCTGCCAGTGGAAACATCTTCTCATGCCCAGTCTGTCATGCCCCCTCAGCATCTTCTATGTTTAGAATACCCCTCATTCTTCTAAATGGTAATGAATAAAGGTCTAATCTGTTTTGCCATTCTTGATACATTCTTGTCAATCCCTTCATCCCAGGAATCGGCTTAGCTAATTAAAACAGAGAACTGCAAATGCTTGAGACTGAAATGAAAACAGAAAGCATTAGAGAAACTCAGTCGATCTGGCAACATCTGTGGAGAGAAAAATAGAGTTAACATTTCAGAACTGACAAAGGCTCACTGGACTTGAAATGTTAATTCTGTTTTTTCTTTCCACAGATGCTGCCAGGCCTATTGACCTTCTCCAGCACTTTCTGTTTTTGTAACAACCTACTGAATCTCTTTTGAACAGACTTCAACACCAGTACATAGTTTTTAAAATACAGGGCCCAAAACTGTACACAGTATTCGATGTGCAGCTTCACCAATGCCTGTATAATTGCAACAAGACTTCCCCATTTTAAATTCAAACCTCTTAGCAATAAAGATGAAAGTTCTATTTGTCTTCCTTTACTTGCTGCACTTGCATGCTAACATTTTGAGTTTCATGCACAAGAATACCCAGATCCCTCAGTGCTGCACTTTTTAGAGTTTCTTTTCATTTGGCCAATAGCCTGTCTTTCCTACAATAAACTCCATCTGCCAATTTTTTGCCAACTCAATTGATCCAAATCCCCTTGCAGATTCCTTATGTCTTTATCACAATGTGCCCTTCCATCTATTTTTGTGTGGCATCAACAAACTTGGAGACATTATTCTTTCTTCCCTACTCTAAGTCATTAATAAAAATTGAAAATAATTGAGGCCCTAGGCCTGAAAAAGACCCATTAATCCCAACTCTCTGTCTTCTGTGTGTTAACTAATCTTCAATCCATGCTAATACATTAGCCCCAATTCTGTAAGCTCCCGTTTTGTGCAATAACCTTTTATTCAGCACCATATTGAATGCCTTCTGAAAGTTCAAATACCTCCTCCAAGGTCCCACACTTACTTCAGCTACTCGCTTGCTTTTTATATACCCACAAAAACTCTTCCTGTTTGTTTTTTGTCTTGCCAACTTATTTTCATAATCAATTGTCTCCCTCCTTATTAGCTTTTTAGTCATTCCTAAAAAAAAAGTTCCAGTCCTCTGTCCTACCAATAATTTTTACAACTTCATATGCCTCAGCTTTTGATTGGATACTCTCCTTGGCCACTTTTATTAACCACAGATGGCTCATCTTTCTTCGTGAGTCCTTTTTGATTGGAATAAATTTTTGCTGAGCAATATGAAATATCTGCTTAAATGTCTGCCACTGCTCATCCATTGACCTTCCCTTTAGTCTATTTTCCCAGCCTACTTTAGACAACTCTTTCTTCATACTTTTGAAATTGCCCTAATTTATTTGAGGATACTGGTTTGAGACTCAAGTTACCCACCCTGAAGCTGAATTTAAAATTCAACCTTGTTGTGAATGCTACCCTCAAGGCAAAAGATCCTACCTTTTTACACATTACTAGATCTAAAACAGCCTGTTCCAGGACAGATTCTGTAACACACTGCTCTAAGAAGCAATCCCTGTGCACTCTAGAAATTTGCCTTCCATATCATCTTTGTCCATCTGATTTGTCTAATCAATGTGTGGATTAAAATCACCCATGACAACTGTAGTGTCCTTCTTAGATGCCTCGATTATTTCTTGATTTATTCTTTGTGCTAAAGTGAAGCAACTCTTCAGGGGCTTATAGATAACTCCCACCCTTGACGTTTTTTCCCTTACCATTCCTATTTCCACCCAAAATGATTCCACAATTATATCATTACTCTCCACTTCACTGATACCTTTCCTTATTAATAAAGCTGTCCCAACTCATTTTGCATTTTGCTGTGAAAACTTTTGAAAATTGAGTGCAGTCTTGGTAACTCTGTAACTATGTCTCCATAATAGTTATCAAGTCTATTTTAAGCTGTCAACTCATCTATCTTACTACAACTACTGTGTGCATTCAGATAAAGAAACTTAAACTTTGACATTTTACTATTGTTAACCTGTCTGGTTCTAATTTCTACTGCATTTTTCTATGTATATTTTGTACTCTTTCCTGTCACACTTTATCACTCATTTCTTCAATACCTTGCACCTCTGCTTTCCTGTTACTTTTTGATTTTTTAAAGTTTTCTTCAATTGAACCTGGCACCCCTCTCCCTCAAAAACCAATTAGTTAAAAACACCGCATCTACAAATATAGCTGTACGACTCGACAGGACACTGGTCCCAGCACGGTTCAAATGAAGCCCAACCCAATGAGCAACTGGCTCTTTCCCTGTACTGGTGTCATGAATTGGAACCCATTTGTCCCACACCCATCTTTGAGCCATGCATTTACCTTGATAATTCTATTTACCATACTGTATGATCTCTTTGGGATCATTCATTGAGAAAATAAGAAAGAGCTCTTGCGCATTAAAGTCAGACAGATGTTTAAAGCGTTAGAGATAGTAGGAACTGCAGATGCTGGAGAATCTGAGATAACAAGTTGTAGAGCTGGATGAACACAGCAGGCCAAGCAGCATCAGAGGGGCAGGAAAGCTGATGTTTTGGGTCCAGACCCTACTTCAGAAATGGGGGAGGGGAAAGGGGACTCTGAAATAAATAGGGAGAGAGGGGGAGGCGGGTAGAAGATGGATAAAGGAGAAGATAGGTGGAGAGGAGACAGACAGGTCAAAGAGCCAGGGTTGGAGCCAGTAAAGGTGAGTGTAGGTGAGGAGTTAGGGAGGGGACAGGTCAAGGAGGCAGGATGAGGCTGGTAGGTAGGAGATGGGGGTGGGGCTTGAGGTGGGAGGAGTGGATAGGTGGGAGGAAGGACAGGTTAGGGAGGCGGAGACGAGCTGGGCTGGTTTTGGGATGCGGTCGGGGGAGGGGAGATTTTGAAGCTTGTGAAGTCCAGCTCGTCTCCAAGGGTTCCCAAGCACTGCAGGCTTGGGAGGCTTTGGGACCGCTTTGTGGAGCACCTACGCTCGGTTCGCAACAAACGACTGCACCTCCCTGTCACGAACCATTTCAACTCCCCCTCCCACTCCTTGGACGACATGTCCATCCTGGGCCTCCTGCAATGCTACAACGATGCCACCCGAAGGTTGCAGGAACAGCATCTCATATTTCACTTGGAAACCCTGCAGCCCAATGGTATCAATGTGGATTTCACAAGCTTCAAAATCTCCCCTCCCCCGACTGCATCCCAAAACCAGCCCAGCTCATCCCCACCTCCCTAACCTGTCCTCCCACCTATCCCCTCCTCCCACCTCAAGCCCCACCCCCATCTCCTACCGACTAACCTCATCCTGCCCCCTTGACCTGTCTGTCCTCCCTGGACTGACCTATCCCCTCCCTAACTCCCCAGCTACACTCACCTTTACTGGCTCCATCCCCACCTCTTTGACCTGTCTGTCTCCTCTCCACCTATCTTCTCCTCTATCCATCTTCTATCCGCCTCCCCCTTTCTCCCTATTTATTTCAGAACCCCCTTCCCCTCCCCCATTTCTGAAGAAGGGTCTAGGCCCGAAACGTCAGCCTTCCTGCTCCTCTGATTGCTGCTTGGCCTGCTGTGTTCATCCAGCTCTACACCTTGTTACTCTGTCTAAAGCATTAGGAGAAATAGAGGAGGCAAAAGCCATGATATCGTTGAGGCGAATAGCAGATAAACACTGTAAGCGGAGGTAGATATGAGGACAGAACAGTATTCTGCTGTGTGATTGATAAGACACAAAACTCTATTGTTTTACAGTGGTATTTTCTGGTCCTTTATTGTCCCAAATTGTAAACATACGGACGAAAATTCCTCGCAGCGTTCACTAGAAGGCAGCAAAGACAACACCATCGTGGTAACCATAGAGATTCTGAAACATGATCACCTAGCAACGCATTGTACCACTATAAACAAATCTCGACGCAACTGCACGAACTCAGGGAGATTTCTTGCCCTTAGAACCCAGCCGGAGCGGCCACCTCGCTGAAAAAAAATGCCTGAAACCAGAGACCCATTCCCTTTTCCGAGATATGAAAATGATGATGATTTCAGAGGTCAGAGAAAGGATACACAGGTATTGCAACAACATGGACGTTTACATTATTAACTCGCACGTTGCAAATGTGCTCCTTACATCTTATTTCGGATTTCTCAGTTTTCTGATTTAATTGCTGCATTTTACTAATTTCGATAAAATAACGTAAGCATTTTATCAGCTCTTTGTGTTTTTGATTTTTAGCACGAAATGGGCGTGGTGGCTACGCTACATACATTTTTAAAAGTGCGACGCATTTCGTTTTATTTTCTCTGGCGGTCCCCACAAGGTTGCAGTCTGTTGATGCTTGCCAATTTATTAACTTCAGTAATGTGCGGCAGTGTGCCAAATAAAAGAACAAGACTTCACAACGCAAAGTAAATGCAGAGACCTAACATTTTAAATCAGTTTACGGCTGGAAATCTGATAAACAAAAAACGCAAATCTTTTGTAATTGATGTACATGAAACATTCAGTTTATTGCCATTGCTTTGTTTTTCAAAATGCCGTGAACAGTTCCCGAGCATCAAAGTTGAACTCAGGATTAACATTTTAAGGAAAAATGCTTCCGTAACTATCCCAGGATGTCAGCAGTGATTTAGTGGTTGACAGTCTTTCTTATGAATCAAAAGGTTCTGGATTCAAGGCCGTTCCAGAATTTGTGTACGACTGTCAATGCTGGCAGAGTATTCTATTAGAGAATTGAAGGAGTGCTGCCTCTTGGTGAGACAATAAATGGTGGTCCCATCTGACTGCTTAGCTGGATGCAAAAGATTCCAAAGCACTATTTTGAAGAGAAGGGGATTTATTCGGATGTTATGGCTAATATTTATACCTCAATCGAAAACTAATTATCTTGTCATTATCACACGGCTGTAGAGTGAGTTAATTGGCTGCTTCATTTCCTACTTTACAACAGCAACTGCATTTAGAAAGTTCTTCATTCACTGAAAGATTCATTGAGATGCCTGGTAGCTGTAAAACGTGTTATATAAATGTGAATCTTTTTATTTCTAATAGTTTCAGCCAATTTAATTCAGTTTCGTGACAACAGTTTCTGCTGCATCTCCATGCCAACTATATTGCATAAATTGGTGTTTTCTTTCAAAATTCGATTTCTTGTGTACCAATTCTGAAGATGCAAGATAAAAATCTTCAACTTCATGTCTCATTCTCAATTTTATTCCTATGTTTGTTTGATGTCACTTCTATTATTTTTTCTTGATTTTTATTTTTAAAAAAGTTTGCTTTCATTCAATGAAGGAAACCTAGCAATGATTCCTTCATTTTGATCTGGGGAACTACATTTTAATTAAGCCGTGATGGAGTTATGTCACAAAAATAATGTTTTTTATTGTGCCAACTAATGGGGTTAATTAAAGGGGAGCCACTCCTCATCTAGTTGTGACTACCTCTTTTGCTTCTAAACTCCAATGAATACATGCCCAACTTGCCTGAACTTTTCCCATAACTGCTTCATCACAGGAATCTGTCAAATGAACTTTCTCCAAACTGCTTTAAATGCTGTTACTATATCCTTTCTCAAATAAGAAGACCAAAATGTACCAAATACTCCAGATGTGGTCTCACCCACACTCAATGCAATTGTCACAAAACCTCCTCACTTTTATATTCCATTCCCCTTGCGATAAACAACAACATTTCATTTGCCTTCCTAATAACTTACTGTCACTGCATTCTAACCTTTTTTGGAATTCAAACAGAAAGTCATCCAGATCTCTTTGTACCACAGAGTTTTGTAGTCTTTCACTATTTAAATAATATACTGATTTTCTATTCTTATTTTTATATCTTTTTCTACATCTGCCAATTATATTTTCCCATTCATTTTATCTAACCAAATCCACTTATAGATTCTTCATTTCCTCCACACAATTTACTTTCCCACCAATCTTTTTGTCATCAGCAAAGTTAGCAATCTGGTGTTAGGTTAATTCTTCAAAATCTTTTGTACAGGCAGTAAATATTTGAGGAGCTAGCACTGATTCATATGGCACTCCATTAGATACAGCTTTCCAACCCCAAAATGATGCATTTACCTTTACCCTCTGCTTCCAAGTAGTCAATCAAACCTCTACCAAACTAATATGTTCCCCTGTACATCATGGGCTTCTATTTTGTGTAGTAATTTTTGAAATCTAGCGCACCCCATCGACAGGTTCCCTTTTATCCATATTAATGTTACATGCTCAAATAACTTGGGGCAGCATGGTGGCTCAGTGGTTAGCACTGCAATGCCAGAGACCCGGGTTCAATTCCAGCCTCAGGCAACTGTCTGTGTGGAGTTTGCATGTTCTCCCTATATCTGTGTGGGTTTCCTTCGGGTGCTCCGGTTTCCTCCCACAGTCCAAAGATGTGCAGGCTAGGTGGATTGGCCATGCTAAATTGTCCATAGTGCCCAGGGATATTTAGTTAGGTGGGTTAGACATGGGAAATGCAGGGGTAGGGGAACTGGTCTGGGTGGGATGCTCTTCAGCGGGGCAGTGTGGACTTGTTGGGCCAAATCGCCTGTTTCCACATTGTAGGGATTCTATGAACTCAAATTGTCAAAGATGTTGACTTGCTTAATTGCGTTAAGATTTTCTGATCCATCTGATTTGCCCTTTAATAGACATCTCCCATTCATTATTAAGACTGACTCCAAAAAGCTAAGCTATGTATTTTCTGGTCATCATTCTTCTATTCAACAATTCCTGACTTTCTGTAAAATTTCAGGTCTGTGCAAAACTGGAATATCATTTGTATGTCTAGGAATCTCTTGTAATCTCTTTTATTCTAGTCAGCAAAGAAGATCAAACATTTTGTCAGAAGGATATCCCATCTGTTGCCTTTTAGCCTTTAGCATGTCTTGCTTTGTACCTTATCAATACTATAATGATCACTATTTTCCTGAACTTCTGTTTTTTTCCCATGCTTCATCCTACCAGTTTTCCTCTTCCTTATAGGTCAGAATATGCAACTGTAGTATGATTCCTTTTTAATGATGATGCTTCCCAATAATTTAATTGGACAACATATTGTGCTGTTTCCCACATAAACTCAATCTTTCACTGAAAAACAAAACTGTATATCCCAAAATGGTGCTACTGAGTTGGAGTACAATACAAATTTCAGCTACACTATCCTGACCTGGGGAGATGTGTACCACAAATTTAGATCTGGGACATTTTTGCAACTGTTTAAAAAAAAAGGAATATGGGACAAAAAGCCTTCTTGTATTCACCCCTCACATTCTTCACACCCATACGATCTCCATGTTCCATCCATGCAAACCCATGTGATGCGGTGCCCTTCAACATGTGCCCTCGTGCCCTCACACCCCCAAGGGCAACCTATGCATGCCTGCCAACTGCCATTGCCCTGTATAGACCAATGTCATCCTTGCCCCATCTACCAATCTATATCCTCACAGCCTCCATGCCACCTTACACAGTATACGCCTTTGAATACAAATACCTCAAGACGAGAAATACAGGTGGGCTGTAATTATGTTGTTGTGGTTCACAGAGGCAGCTACATTTTAAAGCATAGCTACCTTCAATCAGATCCAACTTTCAGTAGTAGGATGTCCAAAATGCAATTTGTGCACTCCAGACCTTGTCTGAACCTACTGGAATTAGGGCACCTTTTTGGAATAGAATGAAATATAATATAAAAAATCATACAAGTAAGGTCCTGGCATTATTTTAGACCTCTCACAAATAAACACAGACAAAAATATGAATCAGGTTCAGAAGCAGGCCATTCAGCCCCTCAAGTCTGCTCTACTGTTCAAGAAGATCAGATTTTAATGTCAAATCTGCATTCCCACCTCTCCCTGATAACCACTCAGTTCCTTTCTTAACAAGAATCAATCTACCACTGCCTTAAATGTATTCAAGGAAAATATTTTAAATCTTCTTGGAATTATTTTAACTATTTAGTCAGAATGATTACAGTCACCCACACTATCTAATCATTTCAGTTTAGATTGTTGATGGAGGATTATGGTATGCATTTTAAAGCAGAAATGCAGTTTATTTTACGCAAAAGGATCAGTGTTCCGGCAGATGGAGTCTATCATGCTAGACAAGTGTAAATGTATAATCAGATTTATTGATGAAAATACAATCATCTTAATTCATTTCAATTTTTCTTATCACTTTGGTTAATTAACAGACTTCTGGTTGAGAATTGGTTAAACTGCCAACAATCATTTTACTTATAAAATTTAGGTTTTGCAGGAGGCATTTTACTTGACAGGAGGCATTTAATCCAAATAAATTGAGCTGGTTTCAAACCCTTTTCTAATTCTGAAAGGAGAGTGCATCCAGTCACCTGAAAGAAAATCCCATGCTTTTCTAAATCAGCAAACATATTAAAGGGTAATGACCTGACCTTCCTTTGGTCTTGCATTCTCATTTTCGTGCAGGTTCCTCAGAATCTCAAACCAAGTCATTTAGCACAACAGGAGGATCCATGGAATCGACTCAATGCAGCAGTGACCGTGGCAAGTGCAAGCAAAGGAATTTTCCTCTATAATCCCAAGGTATAAGATTATAGAATACATGAAATATACAGTAATGTAACACAAACAGCCATGCAGCATGACATAGTGGGAATGTGCATTAGTAATCCAGAGTTCCAGACTAATGTTTTGGAGAGATGGGTCCAGATGGCAGAAAGTGAAATTTGAATTCAACAAAATCTGAAATTAAAAGCTGGTTTATTGGAAAGCATGTAATCATTGCTGTAAAAACCAAGCTGGTTTATTAATGTCATAAGAAAGAAATCCGCCATCCTTATCTGGTCTGGCCTATGTGTGACTCCAGACTCATAAATGTGTGTCACTCTTAACTACCCTTTGAAATGGCCAACTGAGACTGTTAGTTCAAGAGCAACTAGGGATGGGCAACAAATGCTGGTCTTGCCAACAATACCCACATCCCATACAAGAATAAAGAAAACGGGTGATTCTCTATTTGTCAGTAACTTGCTGCCATCTGTAATGTGAAATTCTAAAATCACATCTGAGCTATTGTTCATAACACCAATGTAAATTCAGCCCATTGAAGGTTATCCACTCAGTATCCTCTAATGCAAGGGAACAGACTTGTGCTTATTAATAAAACACTTCCACATCTTGAATATTTTGGTGGCCAAAGGACAATTAAGAATAAGCAATAAACACTGGACCAGCCAGTGCCACCCACATTCCATGAACAAATTAAAGAAGTATATAGCTTTGAGTGCCAAGGTGGTACTGGCTGTTCATCCATGCCACTGAGGCCAAGATATAGACAAACATGTCTCAGAGTTTCGACAGTTACTTCAGCACCATTTATTTCCTGCAAATCAGAGTTGCAGACTTGCAGAGTTGCTACTTCATAGATTTCCAGAATAATGCTGCACCTCATGTGGTGAGGACTCCAAAAGTTTAGCCACACAGTGTACTGTGCTGTTTCCTACTCCAACTCAGACTTTTGTAGAACCTTAAAACTGAGAGATGTGAGTTTTGGATCCTAAGTCAGAAATGCAGAGCCAGTATAAATCTCAGCTCCACAAACTGGACCTGGGAATAATTCTGCTAGAGGTTTGGATTTTCATTCTGTGAGGGTTCGTCGAGCATGGGATTTACACAGGTGGGTAAAAATGAGAGTCAAGGTCATCAGTCCTACAAATAGTTCGGACGAGCCTCAGGGGTTGCCAGGTGCACAGATGTATTCCTGGTTACCCATTAATATGTAGATTTATTACTGATTGTTGTATGTTTTTGGACTTATGGTTTTGATTCACATGAAGCCAGCCTCTCTATGTCCTTCTTGATATATACTGCTGTTATGAGAAACTGTAGCTTTACCACATGGGTAGTCATGAAATATCTTTTTGGTTGAAGATCTTACCATTAAAAGATCTTAATGCCTGCCAAGTAGGAAATCATGTTTTAACACTTCAGAGCACTGAACAAGTTTCCGTTATTGAGTTTCTGATTGAATAACAGGGAGGATTTCTTCCAGTCACCCTACTCACATGAGCACAAGTGAAGCAGAGCACAGTCGAGGTGAGGTGAGAGTGACTACCTTTGACTTCAAGGCCGCATGTGACTGGATGTGGCATCAAGGAGCCCTGGCAGAATTAGAATCAACAGGAATCAGAGAGAAATCTTTCCACTGGTTGGTGTCATACCTAGTATAAAGGTTGTGGTTATTGGAGGTCAGTCATCAGAACTCCAGGTCATCTCTGCAGGAGTGCGTCAGGGTAGTGTCCTAGGCCCAACCATCTTCAGCTGTTTCATCAATGACCTTTCATCCATCATTAGAACAGAAGTGGAGATGTTTGCTGATGATTGTTCAATGTTCAGCAACATTAGATGCTGAAGTAGTCCATGTTCAAATTCAGAAATACCTGGATGATAGCTAGGCTAGATTCATAACTGTCAAATAATATTTGCGCCACACAAGTGCCAGACAATGACCTTCTACATCAAGAAAGAATCTAACCATCATCCCTTAACATTCAATGGTTTTACTATTTCTGAATCCCCCACTATGAACATCCTAGAGATTGCCAGTGACCAGAACTGAACTGAACAAGCTGTATATTATAATGGCTATAACAGCAGATCAAAGGCTAGGAATCCAGCAGCGAGTACTTCACCTCCTAACTCCCCAAAGCCGATTCACCATCTACAAGACAAAAGTCAGGAATGTCCTTTAGTACTCCCTACTTGATGGATGAGTGCAGCTCCAACAATAGTCAAGCAGTTTGACTTCATCCAAGACAAAGAAGTCTGCTTGATTGGCATCATATCCCCAACATGCACTCCTTACAACACTAATGTACAGTAGCAGCAATGTATACCATCTACAAGATGTACTGTAAAAATTAAACAAGACTGCAAGACAGCATCTTTCAAACTCAAAATCACTAATTGGAAGGACACGGGTAACAGATAATGGGAACACCACCATCTGCAAGTTCCCTGCTAAGCCACCCATCATCTTAACTTGGAGCTCTATTGCTGTTCCTTCACGATTAGTTGGTCGAAATCTTGGAACTCCCTAACAATATTACGCATATAGCTACTCCAAAAGGACTGCTGCAGTTCAGGAAGGTTGCTTGCCACCATCTTCTCAAGGGCAACTAAGGATGAGCAACAAATGCGGGCACAGTCTTCAAAGCCCACATCCTCTGAATAAATAAATAAAATGAAGTCTGTTTGACCAAAACTGTAAACACTCCTGTATTTGTAAGTTTAAACCATTTAATTCAGCTCATGCATCTCAGAGGCTGGCAGATCTCTGCGTTAGGGCTTGTACCTGGGTACAGAGGACGAAGTCTGATTGCTGCAGTAGTGGCAACACTTGTGATAGATTAGACATCTAAAGCTCGCATCTACTGTTTACTGCTTAATGGATGTCTACCATGTGTAAACAAAGAAAAATTGTGCCAGAGCTGAAATCATATTACTCCCACATCCTTTTCAAACTAGCTTAATATTTGCACATATTATTGTTGCAACCTAGCGTATTGGAAGCAACAGAAGCCTTGATGTAATGCAAAGAGGACAGGATCCTGACATAACAAGATTTTAATCATTTTATCTATTGCTTTGTCTGAAGAGGATATATGGTACTTGGCAGTTAGTTAAAATAACCCACTGAATGTCTCCAATTAATTATGAAAGTGAGTAATATGGTAACTAGACTAATTAGGCAGAAAATGCCTTCTTGAACAAAATTGAAGTCCAAAACTTTTTTATAAACTCAACACTTCTAAAGTTCATGGTTCATTTATTTTTATGTATTGAAGGCTGTATGTTGTTCTAACAGGCACCAAAAGACAGTCTGGATCTCCATCTTAATTCTGTTTATAATCATTCAGAGGATTTTTTGAAACATAAGAATGAGGTACTTCTTCAAAAAGCAACCTGTGAACCTCAGAGGTAAGTACAATTTACGTTATTTTGTCATTGAAATATTAACTGTAAAAAAAAATCGTAACACAGGGATTTATAATCAGGTTAACAATGGTATTAGATTAATTCTAACATTTTTGTATCCATTACTTCCAGGAAAAATAGAATTTGCAACACTTTATGAAGGTCCCGTATACAAATCTTGAAAGTCAGTGCCACTTTGCCAAGTTGCTGCATAAGGAAAAACTGTTCTTCACAATGACAAATGTAAAACTTGATCTGATTAACTTGCATTGCAAACTGGCCCAAATAAATGAATAGATTAACCTTGGAATCACAGAATTGTTACAGAGAGAGGTCATTCAGCCTGTCATGTCTGTACTGGCTCTTGGAACATTTTGATTTATTGCCATTCTCCTGTCATTCCTCTAACTCTGCACTCTGTTTCTATTTAAATAAATATCTAATGCCCTTTCAAATGTCTTAATTGAACCTGCCTCCACCATACTGCCAGGCAGTATTATATTCTATCCACTAAGAACTCACTATGTGAAAATATTTTCTTTCATTTTGCACTTACTTCTTTTGCAAACCACTTTAAACCTATGTCCCCTGGGGTCTCAATTCTCTTAACAGCAGGAACAGTTTCTCCCTATCTACTCTATCCAGGCTGCTATACACGAGAAGATGAATGTTTCTGGTCAGAGTCCAAAGCCACATTTTTAATGAAAGCTTTACTTCAATTAACCACACTATATAAAATTCACACCCCACACATGAACAAAAACGCCATATCTACTGCCTCACTAAGAGTACTTTTTACTACTTATGCGATCTTTTAGCTTCCCAAGCTAAATGGCAACATATAATTCCTTTCCCTACAAGAAAATTTATAATCCCCACTGTTCTAAAAACTCATCACAAAGATTTGCTTAAGAAACATTCATAAAATCAATAAATTTCATGTTGCTGGATTTCCCAATGGCAGAAATTTCAAAACACTGTGCTTTTTGTTATTGTTTTCGATACTTTGTTCACTTGAATAATATCTTTCACTTTTGGATTTTTGACAGTTGTACTTAATTCTAATACTTTAAAACTGGCATCACAATTCATCTATTTCAGCTTTGGAAGCCACTGGATTATTTTTGAGGACCTATTTTGATGAATAGCAATAGGGCTAATATTTTCCAAAAATGATTGTTGATGCAAAGTGACATTTGATCCATTTGGCCTGACTTCCAATTTTGAATTCTGTTTTACGTTCAGTTATGACAATGTCTTCAAATTCACTGTTTCTACTCCAGAAAAAAAAATTGTGCATCATATAGATGCCTGATGGATTCCTCTTATGGTACTAGTACAACTTGGCATGGTCTACTTTGAACTGGGGGTAGCCTAATATTAATATTATTGACCTTACTGAGAATTACTAAACTCCTGATGCATCTTTTAGGCCACATCCATATCCTGTATCTTGCCTTCTGTCTCTTTCTGGACTAGTTCTGTTTGACTTCCCTCTCCTATTAATAAGATTCTTATCAATGGCTCGTGATCTTTTTCAAGGGCCATGTTCACTCCCAGACCCACTGTTTGAGCCTACATGGCATTTTCTTGCCTTTAATCTTCACGCAACCAAACAATGGGCCAAACCTCCTGCCCTTCACCCTGTATGTGCATCCAGTTTTTATATTTTCCAGTGGCTTTCCTTCCTCTACTTATAACAGTCACATTTATCCTTTGACTAGCCCCTTCTGGTAAACATTTGACTTTGGTACCCACTTTTGGTGATTGTCCTTTGGGACCAATGGGCCTCATTCTGATTATCAGAACTGAACCGTCTACCATCAGACAACTGCCAATTGTGGCAGCTTGATCTCATTGCTTTGCAACGTTTGGGTATGAAAAGTACCTGGCTTCTCATTATTTTCTATAACTCCTTCAGAAACGGAAGATTTGTAGTTCATACCAAGCAGTCTTGAAGAGTTTAATCAAACAGTCCGGCCCCATGCTGTACAACAGTTTTTTTTTGTATCTGTACTAATAATCTTCCCCAAGCCTTCCTATCCTTTAACCCCACTCTCTTATAATAAAACATATCTTTCAGACTGAAACGAGTTTCCAATGACCTTCCCATATATCTTGGGGCACAATGAATTCTATCTGAGACTTCAGCTTCAATGAAAGCCTTTCTGTACGTCATCCGCTTCCACCACATGCATTTAAATGCTCTGGACAACTGGAGCTAATTGAAGCACCTCCCAGTCTGGGGACTGATCACTTATTACTGATGGAACTTTAGCATTTCCATCACAAACCAACTGATATGCATTGTATCCTCCAGATGGAAAATTCTCCATGTGTTTGAGCTTCATTCCAGAATTTGACCAAGTCCCTAGATTATTACTTCAGTACAACATAAGTGGAATCATTATCTTTTTTTAGAGGTGTGGTATTTCAATGGAAATTTTTCTTTTATTCATTTATGGGATGAGAGCGCCGCTGGCTAGTCAGTATTTGTTGCCCATCCCTAATTGCCCAGAGGGCAGTTAAGAGCCAACCACATTGCTGTCGGTCTGGAGGCACATGTAGGTCAGACCAGGTGAGGATGGCAGATTTCCTTCCCTGAAGGACATTAGTGAACCAGATGGGTTTTTCCGACAATCGACAATGGATTCACGGTCATCATTAGATTCTTAATTCCAGATATTCTGGATCCCCAGAACATTTTCTGGGTCTCTGGATTAACAGTCCAGTGATAATACCACTAGGCCATTGCCTCCCCCATAATATTAAACTATTAACTATTTCTTAGGTGTGTCCTTTGGTAGAATTTCAAGAGTAGGGAACTTTCCTGGCTAACATTCTTTCCATTACCAAATAGAGTTTAAGAAGGCATTGATCATTTTGCTATTTATATACAAATGTGTTTTCTGAAGGGCAATTAGGGATGGACAAGAAATTTGGCCTTGCTAGCTCTATACATATTCCATGGTTTTACCTAAAATAATGTCTCAAAATATTTTACTACCTAAAATTGTGTTACATAATAGAGCAGTAATTTATATTACAGCAAGGAGAATGATGCTCCAGTGCGTTGTATTTGGTGAGACTGATTTTCCAGGCATGACAGATGAAGAACATCAAAAGTACCTTCTCTATGATATCCTATCAAAAGTACCCTCAGCAGTTTGAACCCACCTGTATCTCTGTCTTCAATCTATAACCAGGCCTCTAGCTTACAGTTGATGCAAGAATTCCTTTTAGAATGGACAAATGCACCCAAAAATGAGAAACAAAAATGGACCATTTTCTGATAGCCAGAGGACCAAGGAATTTTTGGCTACTATTTTAAAAAATCCCCACATTTTACTTCATGGCCCTGAAGCACATAACCTCATAAGATCAGAAATGTTTTATGGTGCAGAAGAAGGTCCTTTAATCCATCATACCTACACAAGCTCTTCAAATGAACATATCATTTCTCATATCACCCTTGTGTTTTTGTAAATCACTTTCAATTTATGCCCTCTCATTCTTGTTCCTTTTACAAGTGGGAACAGTTCTCCCTACCTCATCTATGCAACCCACTCATAATTTTGAAAACATCTATTAGATTGCCTCATAGTCTTCTTCGCTGAGAAGAAGAGTCCCAACCTCTCCAATCTATCCACATCACTGAAATTTCCCATCCCTGGAACCAATCTGATAAATTGCTTCTGCACTTTCTCCAATCCTTTCTGTAATGTGGTGCACAGAACTGCACAGAATACTCCAACTTATGTCTAACAAGTATTTTATACAAGTTCAACATCACCCCCTTGATCTTGTATTGTATGTCCTTATTAACAACACTGAGAATAATGTATGTATTACTTACTGCTCTTTCCATCTCTGCCGTCACCTTCAATGACCTGTGCACATTTACATCCAGGTCCCACTTCTTCTGCACCCCCTTTCAAATTGTACTCCTATTTTTACATTATCTTTCAATGTTCTTCCTATCAAAATGCATCATTTCACAGTTCTTTGCATTAAAACTTAGTAAGGAACTTTCTAACAGTGATCATCTGTGATTCTTTATTTTGAGTGAGTTAGGGACAAACTCAAGCCCACTTTCATTGGCAACTGCTGAATTTGATTCTCGACCAGGCAGAGACATGGTAAAATTATTTCTGTGCACATTTTGAATTATCACTGAAAGATAGTATGGGACAAAGGTGTCACCCCATTTAAAAAAAATCAGACAAATATGATGTTCTTTAATTTGCAGGATCTCCCTCGATGTTAGAAAGCACAGAGAGGTGGTCACCCACTTGTTAGGGGCAAGTAGGAAGAAAGGGAATGGGCAATCACCAGGCAGCACAAGAGAATCAACCAGGTACTTCAGGAGTGGAAATAGTAAGAACTGCAGATGCTGGAGCCAGAGCCAATACAGTGTGGAGCTGGAGGAACACTGTAGGTCAGGCAGCATCAGAGGAGCAGGAAAGTCGGGTCCCGACCCAAAATGTCGACTTTCCTGCTCCTCTGATGCACTTCAGGAGTGTCCAGGGTTCCTGCTTACTAAACCATTTTCTCTTCTGGATGCTGGAGTGGGCAATGGTTCCTTGGAGGAGTGCAATACGAGCAAAGCCCATGATGCCACACTACCACAACAGTACAAGAAGGTAGCATTAATAGGGGATTCTTTAGTTAGGAGACCAGCCAGGCATTTCATGGACCATGATGGAAACAGCAGTAAGTAACACATACTGTATTCTCAGCATTATTCTGTGCACCACATTACAGAAAGGTTTGGAGAAAGTGCGGAAGCAATTTATAAGATTGGTTCCAAGGATGGGAAATTTCAGTGATGTGGATAGATTGGAGAGGTTGGGACTCTTCTCCTCAGAGAGAAGAAGACTATGAGGTGATCTGATAGATGTTTTCAAAATTATGAGTGGGCTGCATAGATGAGGTAGGGAGAAACTGTTCCTACTTGTAAAAGGAACAAGAATGAGAGGGCATAAAGTTAAAGTGATTTGCAAAAACACAATGGTGATATGAGAAAAACCTTTTCACTCAGTGAGTAGTTAGGATGTTGATTGCACAGCCTGGAAGTGTGGTGGAAGCAGGTTGAATTAACTGCTTCAACCTGCAGTTCAAGAGGGCATTGGTCAATTATTTAGATAAAAATAATATGCAAGGGCTGTGTAAAAAGCAGGTGACTGGCATGAGGTAATGATGTTCATTTGAAGACCTTCTTCTGCACTGTAAAACATTTCTGATCTTATGAGTCTATGTGCTTTAGGGCCATAAAGTAAAATGTGGGGATTTTTTTGAACGGTAGCCAGAAATTTCTTGGTCCTCCGGCTATCAGAAAATAGTCCATTTTTGTTTCTCATTTTTGGGTGCGTATGTCCATTCTAAATGGAATTCCTGCCTCAACTGCATGCTATTGGAAGCTGAAGGGTGACCTTGTAGAGGTTGATAAAATCATGAGGGGCATAGATAGGGTAAATAGACAAGGTCTTTTCCCCAGGATAGGGGAATCAAAACTAGAGGGCATAGGTTTAAGGTGAGAGGGAAAAGATTTAAAAGGGACCTAAGGGGGCAACTTTTTAATGCAGAGGGTGGTGCGTGTATGGAATGAGCTGCCAGTGGAAGTGGTGAAGCTGGTACAATTACAACATTTAAAAGGCATCTGGATGGGTATATGAAAAGGAAGAGTTTAAAGGAATTTGGGCCAAATGCTGGCAACTGGGACTAGATTTATCTAGGATATCTGGTCAACATGGACGATTTGGAACAAAGGGTCTGTTTCCGCGCTGTACATCTCGATGACTAATAGCATCGACAATAGCCCACTCACCAAAAGTTTTTCTCTATCTGTACCGAACCATGTCATGATCTTGAAAACATTAATTGGCCATTTTGTAACCTTGCAAATTCTGGAGAGAACAGGCCACATTTTTACAATCTTTGTTTATCACAGAAATTTTTCATTCCTGGTAACTGGTAGACCTGTTTCACACTCTTGTAATAGCCTTTACATCTTCCCTGTTGTGTTAATTCCAGAATTATAGAGAATACTGCAATTTTAGGTTGTATTAATAGAACCATTCAATATAAATCATAGTATAATATTCTGTTATTATACAGGTTGCAGGTTTGACCGCACCAAAGTCCTACACAGCTTTGGTTCCCTTATATATTTAGTGATGTTCTAGCTGGGAAAAGGCTACCGGAGATCAAAGGAGTCCTTAATACTCTTAACTACTTAGATACATGCAAGGGGCTGATTGTCCTCACTTTAAAGGAGCTTGGGCAGATGCAATTTGATAAAGATCTATAAAATAATTAAATAGTTGGTTAGGGTGGCAATGAATAGATCATTGTGCTTTAAAATATTGGTATGAAGAGGAGGGTATAAATTTAAACCAAGCAAGAGTCTGGATATTATGCAATCTGTTTCCAGGGAGTCATGAGATTTTGGAATACATTACAGGTTGGAGTTGTATTGCTGACTCTATAAATGCTCCAACTAATCAAAAATATTTAAGGTCCTGATAAATAATCTCTGTGAACATATAACTTAATTGTTTGTTGCATTTTCTAAATTATTTACAGGGGCTGTTGGTTGGGCATGGATGACCAACTTCCAGAAGACATTTTTCGTCGGAAAATGGCAAAGGATGCAGTGCAGAAAGATATTTGTGACTGTGCACCTGAACAGCCAGACACCACAGCTAACTATTTATGTGAAAGACCTCCACCGAGACATTGGATGTCGCCGGCAAAATTATCCATTCATAGCATTGAGGGAGCAATAAGTGAGAAACTAGTTCTGTGAAGCATTATCAGTCTTTAGTGAAAATAAATATACGTGCACTCCTTGCTGCAATGTGTATCACCTAGCAAGCTTAACTGCTCGTGTAGGATTTCATTGTACCTGGAATTTCCAACAAATCCCACTACCCCTCCCCACACTGCCCACTCTTTAATACTTAGTTATTTGTGATAGAACAAGAAATTGGACACATATGGAATTTCAGTATGCAATGGTTGATTCATTTTGATTGAGGAGTAAAAAAAAAATCAAATAATTGTCATGTACTCTTGCATATGTAAAGTGGTATTCACAAGTTAGACTTGATATCAGGAAATGGTTCACTTCTATATGATGCTTCACTATATTGGGCCTTCTATGTTAAGTTTTTCAATATTGCCTAGTAAGAAACATTTCTAAATATCTAAAGCAAGACGAAGTGACAATAACTCTAATTTTAACACTTAATTTTATTAATTAAACCTAAAATAATCCAACATCACATCATGGGAATATTAGAGAGTTCAATTTGTAACCATTGACATTAGTGCAAGAAAATTTGGACTTCACTCAACATCGAAGTTGTGGTTTTACCTAAACCAGGTTAGTGGAAACCAGATGCACAGACGGTTGTATTCACCAATTACATACTTCCTGCAAATTTCACACTTCCTTTTCACAACTTTTCATTTTAACATGTTTTTCTAAGGGGCCCGAAAGGACACCTGTTTGTGTCCAGTGGATAACAAGGTGTAGAGCTGGATGAACACAGCAGGCCAAGCAGCATCAGAGGAGCAGGAAAGCTGATGTTTCGGGCCCAGACCCTTCTTCAGAAA